GGAGGGGGGGAACGGGGCTGGGATGGGATGGGATGGGTTGGATGGAGGGGATGGGTGGGACGGGGTCAGGATTGGGATGGATGGGTGGGACGGGGTCAGGATTGGGATGGATGGGTGGCACGGGGTCAGGATTGGGCGGGCGGGCAGCGCTGCAGCCCCGTCCCGCAGGCCGGCGCCGAGGCGTGCTGCGTGCTGCTGGTGTCCAACCTGCCGGCCAAGGGCTGCTCCGGCCGCGACATCGCCGGCCTGGCGCGGCCCTTCGGGGGCCTGCGCGACCTGCTGGTCGTCTCCTCCCACAAAAAGGTCTGGGGGGGCTGGGCCTTCGGGGCTGGGGTTGGGGGTTTTAGTTGTGATGGATTCTGAGGGGATTTGGGGGGGATTTGGGGAATCTTTTTATTTTTGATGGACTTTGAGGGGATTTTTGGGGATTTTTTTTAATGGATTTTGAGGGGATTTTTGGGGGAATTTGGGGAATTTTTCTTGTTTTTGACGGGTTTTGGGGAAATTTTTTTATTTTTGATGGATTTTGAGGGGATTTTCGGGGGATTTTGGGGGGATTTTTTTATTTGTGATGGATTCTGAGGGGATTTTGGGGGGATTTTGGGGAATTTTTTTTTATTTTTGATGGATTTTGAGGGGATTTTTGGGGGAATTTGGGGAATTTTTCTTGTTTTTGACGGGTTTTGGGGAAATTTTTTTATTTTTGATGGATTTTGAGGGGATTTTTGGCAGGATTTGGGGAATTTTTTTTTTAATTTTTGATGGATTTTGAGGGGATTTTGGGGGGATTTTTTTTTAGTTTTGATGGATTTTGAGGGGATTTTGGGGGGGATTTGGGGAATTTTTTTAATTTTTGATGGATTTTGAGGGGATTTTGAGGGGATTTTGGGAATTTATTTGTGATGGACTTTGAGGGGAATTTTGGCGAATTTTTTTACAATATTTATGGCGATTCTTTGGGAATTTTAGAGAGATTATTGGGTGATTTTTTGGAAATTTTTGTGTGATTTTTTGCAGGAGTTTTTGGGAATTTTTTTGTTTTGGAGGATTTTTTTTACATTTTTTTGGCGCTTTTTGGAGGGATATTTTTAATTTTGGGGAGATCTTTTGGGTAATTCTTGAGGCATTTTTGGGAGTTTTTGTAGGATTTGTGGGGGAATTTTTGGGAAAATTTTTTTAATTTTGGGAGGGATTTTTAAGTTTTTTGTGGGGGGAATTTTTGAAAAAAAATTTTGTGGAGATTTTTGATGAATCCTTTGGCACTTTTTGATGAATTCTTTAGGAATTCCAAATCCCCCAAAATAAATTCTTTTGGGAACTGATTTTTGAGGAATTCTTTGGCAATTTTTGGTGAATTCCTTGGGAATGGATTTTTGGGGAATTCTTTGGGAATTCCAAATCCCCAAAAATCAGTTCTTTTGGGAATTGATTTCTGGGGAATTCTTTGGGAATTCCAAATCCCCAAAAATCAGTTCTTTTGGGAATTGATTTCTGGGGAATTCTTTGGGAATTCCAAATCCCCAAAAATCAGTTCTTTTGGGATGGATTTTTGGGGAATTCCTTGGGAATTCCAAATCGCCAAAAATCCATTCTTTTGGGATGGATTTTTGGGGAATTCTTTGGGAATTCCAAATCCCCAAAAATCAGTTCTTTTGGGATGGATTTTTGGGGAATTCTTTGGGAATTCCAAATCCCCAAAAATCAGTTCTTTTGGGATGGGTTTTTGGGGGATTCTTTGGAATTCTTGGTGAGATTTCGGGGCGATTATGGAGATTTTTTTGGAGAAATTTTTAGGATTTTTGGGGGGATTCGGTGCGGGTTTTTGGGAATTGGGGGGATTTTTGGGGGCAGTTTTTAGGAGGTTTTGGGAGGCTTTTTGGGAAGGTTTGGGGTTTATTTTTTGGCAATTTTTGGTGAATTCCTTGGGAATGGATTTTTGGGGAATTCTTTGGGAATTCCAAATCCCCAAAAATCCATTCTTTTGGGATGGATTTTTGGGGAATTCTTTGGGAATTCCAAATCCCCAAAAATCAGTTCTTTTGGGATGGATTTTTGGGGAATTCTTTGGAATTTTTGCTGAGATTTCGGGGCGATTATGGAGATTTTTTGGAGAAATTTTTAGGATTTTTGGGGGGATTCGGTGCGGGTTTTTGGGAATTGGGGGGATTTTTGGGGGCAGTTTTTAGGAGGTTTTGGGAGGCTTTTTGGGAAGGTTTGGGGTTTATTTGGGGCTGTGGCCGTGCGGGCAGGCGTTCCTGGAGATCCCCTGCGCGGCTGCAGAGTCCATGGTGAAGTTCTACGGCTGCTTCCCCATGTGCCTGGACGGGAACCAGCTCCAGATCCGGCACGAGCCCCGGCACCGCAGCCTGCGCGACGAGGTGGGGACACGGGAACGGGGGATTGATGGGATTTATGGGATTGGGGGGATTTATGGGATTGGGGATCGGGGATTGATGGGATTGGGGATT